TTGTATCCGAAAGAATACAATTTTTTGTATCACGGATGCTGAAAAAACTGCATATCCAAATTACAGATTTTTGTATTATTTTTTTTTAGAGTGTATTACATCCAATTATTTTTTTAGCTCGATGCACTCGCGTGTATTTCCCTTGGTATTTCCTTTTATTTCCATGTGCACATATACTTTTATCGAGATCAGATTATCAACGCAAATGCACAGCACTGTACTCCCATCTGCTTCGGCAGTCGGCACAGTTGAGTCGACGTCGTTCTCTAAGCGATGGGGATCTAGGTAATCCAGGGCCCATACCCATACTCTCATTTCCTTACGCACTCGCTGACAAAGAATTTTTGTGCAATTATGGATCACAAATCATCCGTTATACGGATATAATCGTCCGTAGTCCGTATCACGGTATGTCTCATATTTTGAGGAAAAAGGGAAAACTTTGAGGACCTACTAGATTTGAGGAAAACTCTTCGGACCTCTCCTTAAATTTTGAGGGACCTCCTTAAAAAATGAGGAAAAATTCCACAATTTTGAGGAGACTTAATCCTCGAAATCTGAGGAGCCTTCCTCAAACCAAGGGAGTTCCTCAAAGTTTTCCCTTTCTCCTCAAATAATGAGACATTGTTTTTACTGTGTATTACAGACAATTTTATCCATATTACAGACATGCCGTCATCCGCAAGGTATGGACGAAAGGTTTGCACAAAATTCTCCGTAACATGCGGATAGCACACCCATAAGGAAATGAGAGTGCATTTAAAATCGCTCAGCTGGGAAAATTTTACAAATTTTTGTGCTCCCTTCGCTCGGACTAAACCCTTAAGTGCTTCGGGTCAGTAAGGTTGCCGGCAAAACCCTCATATGTAATTTAAAGATACGCACTAGGGCTGTGCGATATTCGGGAATACCGAAACGATATCGGTATTTTTTTTATACCGATGCTTCGGTATTTTAAATTTCTGCTATTCGGGAACGATATTTCGATATTTTCGAAATATCGAAATATCGAAAAATACCGAAAGTTTGGAAATTTCGGTATTTCGGTATCTCGATAATTCAATATTTCCATAATACGAAGAATTTGGTACTCAGAGTGGGTGCGCCACCCCCCCTCAAACCTTTACTTTTACTTGTCCGCCCCTCCCAGTCTCTCCTACCGCTCTTTTCCCGCTCTACGCGCCTACTACGACGCTAGATGGAGCTGCTGGCGTTGCTGGCATGTCAGGCGGCAGACATGGCATCGCGCGCTGTTTTCAAAGTGCCCAAATTGTTTCACTTCCTCGTTAGCTTCTCTGTTGTCGAAATTTCGATACTTCGGTATTTCGATATTTCGGTATTTCGAAATTTCGGTATTTCGGTATTTTCGGTACGGTATCGATAACCGAAACCGACAAGTTTCGGTATTTTTTTAATATCGAAGTTCGGTACTGAAATTTCAATACCGCACAGCCCTAATACGCACGGTAAAAATGGTATCTTTAATCAAAGAAGATTCCTTGAAATTCAAGGAATGCCTTGGATTCCAAGCAGCCTGCTTGAATAGACCATTCCGCCGAGCCGAAAAAAAAAGAGAAGGAAGAGGCAAATATATTTTTGTGGACTTAATAGACCTTTTAACACAGCATTTTACAACTCTTACGTGTTCAAAATGATTTAGAGCAAATGTAATATTTATAGGACAACAAATCATTCTCAAATCGGCCTTATCAGCCCTAACCGATACCTTTGCTTCTTCCTTCTCTTCTTCTATCGCGGCTAAGCGGAATGGTGTATTACAAGACATCATTTTTACCGGGTGGTGTTTCCGGCAAGTTGCTTATATGGGACCAGATAATTCTATACGTATCATCTGCTCCTCAAAAAACTGAGCCTTAAAATAAGTACATTGTACCTGATCCTTGATTTTTTCGAGTGCATGTGTCATGATTCAACTAATATGTTCTTGAAAAATCAATGATGAAGAACAATGTACTTGATCCAAGAACTCAGTTTGTTTTGTGTGTGTGTTTCAATAAGTGATACTGAATCTATTTTCTTCAACTATTACTCATTACAACATTACTCTTTATTGTTTCCCTCTATTGCAGAGGTAAAGCGGCTTATAGGCCGTTCATACCAAGACCCTTGCGTTCAAAGTGACATAGCCAACTTAACCTACAGCGTGGTAAATGTGGACGATCAACCTCAAGTGCAGGTCCTGCATGGAGGAAAGGAGCTGACCCTCACTCCAGAAAAGGTACGAGGCAGGACTATTTCATATCCTCATAGAAAATAATTTAAGCGCAGCATCCGAAAGGAATGCACCCGAACCCGAGTCGGGTGTGAATGTCCCGTTCACGAGAAGCAAACCGTCCGAGTTTTCCAGGCGCCTTTTGCTGTATTCAGACACCTGTCTGGTTTTGACAATGTTTCCCCAGGCGGCGCCTATGGGAATCGTGTACGAGGGGGAAATCACTTGGGTTCGTAGCGTACGGGCTATTTCGTGGTACTTCTCCTGCCATTTCGGTTATTTCTCTCCTATTTCGGATTATTTCAGATTATTTCGCAGTATTTTGAAGTATTTCAGAGGTATTTCGCGACTATTTGATCGCATATTTCGGGGGTTTTTCGCCTCTATTTCGGACGATTTTGAGAAAGGTGTACGAACTATTTCGCAAGTGCTTTCCCCCTCGGTCGTGTGGGAAGCGTATCTTTTCCATACTGCGCCTGGGAAAACGTGCGAGCTCACAGCCGCAAACGTCAAAACCTAATTATGTTCAAATCAAAATTTAAGTCGTTTTTGAAACTTATTGTCAGTTTGAACGTCAATAACTGTGGCATTTTGCCTCTGATCGTCTCGGCGAAAAATAAACTTTCGCTTTCTTTTCGAGCTGAATCCAAATTACTAACCAGATTTTGATTATACATCATTAAAAATATATTGTTCACCAGTGTGTAGTATTCTTCTCAGTTTTAGACTGTCAAGTTTACCTATAATGTTCTTTTTATTACCCTGCCCTCCTTTTTCAGGTTTCCAGCATGGTACTGCTTAAAGTAAAGAAGTTTGCAGAGGCATTTCTGGGAAAGCCGGTGCAGAAAGCTGTGATCACTGTTCCAGCATACTTTTCAGCCAGGCAGCGAGATGCTACTCGCGAAGCAGGTCGGTTTATACACTTTACAAATGATAACAGATTTTGTGAGAAAAAGTGAAAAACTTTTGAAAAACTACCCCGATATTGGCAATATATCGCCAAAAACTATATTTCCGATGAATTTCGAGGCAACTTTGGTGTTACTGATTTTTCTATGCTGGAAAAAAAGGGGAAAATGTGAGCAAGCGAGGAATAGTCATAGCGAAAAAATTTTAACTAGCAAAGTGGGTTTCATGTCTTAATTACCCTCCCATCCTGATTCCAATCGAATTTTACTAGGTTCAGACGGAACTGTGTTTCAACAGTATCGGTGTAAATCTATACTATCTGAGGACGGAGTTGAAGGACCTTTTTAAAATGCCTATGTGCTATATCCCTTTAGCTAGTACATATCCTCAAACTGAGATTGTATATGATGCCGTTTTTGGTTTTATAAGCCGTGTGCTCGAGATTAACAGCCATCTTTTATCTCAGCTTGAAGATATCAATTTATTCCCCTTGTAATTCAAGGAAATTTCCTGCATATTACGGTTGCTCAGAATTATTCGTTTTATACATGGTTTCACACAACTTGGAAAACCCAGGGGAATAAAAAACTGTCTGGGAAATCAGGAAAAACTCAAGGAAAATGTTCAAAGGTCATGGAAATTTGTCCTGGTCTGCCATTAAACTGCATTCTATTTACTGTTAGGTCAGAACACATTTTGACATCCATGGAGCAGGGTGTCCACTCACCGGGAAATTCCGGGAAATCGGGAATTAGCCGGGAATTTTGTGGCGCCGGGAAAAATCGGGAATTAGCCGGGAAATTGCCACGGGCACCGGGAAAATTGTAATTGGCTTCACTCTCATCCTGTTACTGATTTTTTTCACCTTTTGTCAGTATTCCTGCTGCGCAAAAACCTTTATAAGCCACTGACAACTGCTTTCATCAGTAATACGAAATAATTTCTTTTTTAATTACTGACAATTTTTACTTTTATCAGTGAGCTACTTACATCGATATCCAGAATAAGTAACAAATTAGTCAGTAATCCTGCTGCATAAAAACCTTTATAAGCTACTAATAAATAAATCAGTACAGGTCTGAGAGTGTTGCAAGCGTAGCGCCGCCGCGGACAATGACTAAATCCTATCGTTCAAATAAAATGTTTTTTTATTTCAATTTTTTTTATTCGATTGTATTACTCTGAACACCCTATTTTAAGAGTCTTAGTATTTTTGCACTATTGCTATACTTAACGAAAAATTGGCATGAAAAGTCGTTTTTGGGACCGGGAAAAAACGGGAATTAGCCGGGAATTCTAAAGGGCACCGGGAAGTGGACACCCTGATGGAGGTTGTTTTGACCCAAAATGTGATTCTGCTGTAAGACTACGGTTAAATGCTTAGATGCGGGGGTATTTGTTTGCCCCTGCACTGTACCACGGACGGTTGCTTAAAAGTCAAGGAAATCTATGGAGAAATAGTCTGGAAATCAGGGGGAACTCAGGGAAAATGGAACTGACAATTTTGTGGTAACCATATCCGAAAAAGGTCTTTGTACACTGTAAAAAATCAGGCTTGGATACGGAGCCTGTCACGGCGTTCCGTACCTCACTTTTGGGAGTGATCTTTGAAAGCGTTTCGGATATTTACCGTACCTGACGATTTTTACATGGGCTAGCATAGGGAAGGGGGTACGTAACGCCCAACAGACTCCGTACTGAAAACGGAAACTTCCGGATCAAAATTAGCGGGACTTTTTCCGTACCCTGGCTCCGTACCCACATAGTTAATTTTACATGGGCTCTTATGGGAAGAGGGTACGAAACCCAAGGTACTGAGACGACGTAGGTTAAATAAACGGCATATTTCCGTATGGGTGACCGTGATTATTTTTTACAGTGTAAATGATTTATAGTGTAAACCTAATTTGCCTTCAAATTTTACTACCCTTTCCTAAATAGGTATTTTACGAATAAGAAGAACAGGAGGAATCCCGGGTTTTGGACTAAAATAAGCCACAGGTTACTGGCGCGTTACGACACGACACGGTTTCTGGTGTTCCAGATTTTTGAGGTTCTCAGCTTAAAAATGATATAGAACAGCCACGACTTTTCAGTTTTAGCGGAGATACGCGAGAAACACCGTGTGCTTGGTCATGGCTTTGTTATGGTCCGAGAGCAGACGTCGGCCGAATTTCTCCTGTTCTTCATATTCGCAAAATACCTCATTCCTCACTTGCTAGATTCCAATAGATTCAATCCGCATCCGGTTGAGATGTGCACAAAAACGCGTCTTTCTATGGACTATAAAAGTCCTTTCAGATTTACTGTGCACGGCGTTGATCGGATCACCCACTCGGTTTTCGCATTTTTTACGGGAGACATCCCTTTTTAACCTAAAAGGTTCAACGCTACATAAATATATATTTCTACTATTTCCACCTATACCTCTTTACTGAATAAGAACGAAAAATAGCATGAGAGATGAATGATTATGACACCACTCGTCTTGGCAAATTATAGTTTTAGAAACATAAGACATTGCGTCGGTTTGAAAAATCCGCTACCTTATTTTGATGTGCAGTGGTTTGACTCCTCTCACAGGTAAGCTAGCTGGGTTGGAAGTGCTTCGGCTGCTGCCCGAGCCTTCGGCCGCTGCCCTCGCCTATGGCCACGAGAGGACGGACCTGCTGCAGGGGGCCACCACCACAGTCCTCATCTACGACCTGGGGGGCGGCACCTTCGACGTGACTCTGGCCGTCATCCAGGGGACGGAGGTCACCGTCCGCGTCATCGAGGGCGACAATCACCTGGGAGGGCACGACTTCGACGTCTGCGTTATGAAGTGGGTTGCAGAGGTAGGGTTCTCTGTGCAGTGTACGTTCTTGCGCGCGTGCACATACGCACTCAGTCTAAAGACGCAATAAAAGTCCTTTCAGATTTAGTGTGGAGAGATTATGCAGTCCGTGTAAAAAATGTGTTCAAAGATGTACAATACATTTTGTAATTTACTGTTTGGAATGGATTTCAAGTCGATACTAAGTCCCAGTCCTTGTAAAGATGGAATTTTAAATTGTGGAATTATGGCACCTTCTATCAATAGTAAATTTCCCTGCACCCGGTACAGTAATTTTACACTAAATCTGCAGGGTTCATACCTGTCAGGGAAAAGTCAGAGAGAATGATATTGTACTGAAAATCAGGGAAAAGTCAGGGAGAACTTAAGAAATATGGTAGTTTGTGCGACGAGCATGGCATCGTGAACGCATGGGCCAACTTTAGCCGTGACGCCTTAGTAAAAATGATTATTATCTTTGACTTATCTTGTAAGGCATTATTTTATTTTTCTGCGAAATAAATTTCGCTTAAATTTTGAAAAATTTGCATTGTAATGATGGACAAAAATATGATTGTCCAGAAAAAGGATGCTAATTCGTCACTCGCTTGATTCAAATCTGCATCCGGTTGAGATGTGCACAAAAACGCGTCTTTCTACTGACAATAGAAGTATTTCCAGATTTAGTATGTGAGAACAGTCTCAGTGATTTTAATCTGCAGGATGCAGAATTTAAACTCGTTAAGATGTCCTTTGTAATTGATATTTCCGCTTTCCGTGTGTGTGCTCTTTTTCTCCGTTTCGAAATATCAAATTTTGACTTACACTCTGGATGGGAAGGGACAAATTTTGTACCTAGGTAAGACATGTCTTTGAGCATTGAGCACATCTTCACCAGATAGAAATTTGTCTGTGCGGGGTTACAAATTGTTCCTAGCATGGTTGCCACAACTCTGTAAAACCTGGGAAACCTTGGAAACTCGTCGAAATAAAAAAAACGTCTGGGAAATAAGGGAAAATTCAGGGAAAGTGAAAAAAGTCAGGGAAATCTGTTCCGATCGGTCTTTAAACTGCATTCTATTTACTGTTTAGGTCAAACTACACATTTTGACGTCCATGCAGGTTGTTTTATGGCCCAAAATTGTTCGTGCTCGCTTCGCTCGCGGTCTTGCAAAAGCATTTTCTGCAGGTCTTCGGCAATCACGCTCAAATGCTTGGATGGGAGGGTACTTGTTTGCCCCTACTCTACCAGGGACCGGTTGCTTAAAACTCAGGGAAAATTTGGGAGAAATGGTCTGGATATCACGGGACACTCAGGGAAAATGGAAATGAAAATTTTGTGGCAACCATGCTAGGCTAGGTACAAACGCTGTATTTTCTATGTAACGTGGATAATTTTTATTTGGTTTAGACGCTCAAAGGCACACCTATATCCCGCACGTACCAAAATGTCCCTCACCATTTAGTGTGCCGTTCGTCTTTATAAGTGGACCTCTTTGTGGATTGGGGTTTGAAAATGAAGTGCACCGTAAACTTAAGTTGTAGGTTTTACGGACTAGGGTTCGCCCGGTCGGATTTTTTTCCGGAAAAATTGGAAAGAAATCCGCTTTTTTCGGAAAAAAATCTTAGGGGTCGGAAAAATTGGAAAAATTGATTTAACCTAACCTTACCTTTTCAGTGAAAAACACGCGAAAAATCTCCCCCTGCGCAATGAGGGACGAAGAACTAGATTGGTTTTGGACGTTTTGCGCCATAAAAAGGTGTCTAGGCCCTAATAATTTGACTCTAATATTCGATCGCTCTCTTCAGCTACAGTCTGAATTCCTTTTGTTCTGATGCTTAACAGTGCATTTCCTACAGCTACAACTAAATTTAAGACTTTTCTTGGGATTTTCGCGTACTACGTATTCTAAAACACCAACGGAGCATTTTCAGCTGAGTATTAAAGTATTTTTATATCAGCCATGTCTTATCCAAAGCTTGTTTCTGTACAGTAACCATTGTTTTCCAATTTTTCCAATTTCTCCGAAAAGGATCGGAAAAAAATCCGACTTTTTTTCCACCGATTTTAGTTTTTCGGAAAACTACGAACCCTAGTTACTACAAAATATGTTGTAAGTTTACGAGGACTTTCTCCACAGGAGATGCGGTCCTCCCTAGGCGTAGACGTGGCGGACGAGCCGAGTAAGGTGCGCCGTCTGCTCTCGCTCTGCGAACGCGCCAAGAGGGACCTCACGGCGCTCACCAAGGCGGAGATTGACCTCGAGTCACTGCTACCGGACCGCGAGCAAGTAGTGAAACTATCGCGGGCCAAGTTTGAGAATCTGTGTCAAGATCTCCTCCAGAAGACGCTGACGTGCGTGAAAGCGGCGCTGGCCAGCGCAGAGGTAAGTCCACTGTTATTCTGGATGGGCATGCCTTCACTGTGAGTGAATTTCGTCATTTCACGGTAATAATCTGTCACGAATAATTCGTAATTAAAATTAACGAGTATTATTCGGCAATTTTGGTTACGAACTGCACTGTGAAAAATAGTCAAGTTATCGGGACAATTTTCCTTTCTGTGAGTTCGTAACATTACAATTTGAAATGGTAAAATTACAATTACTTCCTTCTGACTTGGAATTCATCGAGGAGCAAAACTGGTTCGTCGTAAATTTACAACATTATTTTGTTATTCCAAATTACAAGAAATGTCGTTACTTAACGAGGAAAATTTTCACAGTGTGTTCATAGCGGTACAACAAACTATTCGTAACATCACGATTTAATAGTGTCAATTGATCAGAATGTTAGAAAGTGTGTTTCAAATATTCTTCTAGGTTCGTTCTATTGGTACAACAACCGAGTAACAAACTGTTTGTCATTTTAAGAATGTATTCGTTTCTTTAAAGTAACGGAGAGTTTGTGAAGAAAAATTAACTGGACAGTTTTCGTTAAATTACGATGTAACTTCCAACAGTGTTCATACATAAAATACGGACGAAAGTTCTATACAGTACCTTACGGATGAAGGTTTGTAAATGAGGATGGAAATTTTCGTTATTAGGGACAATAGGCTATTCCGCTCAACGCGGTAAGAAGAACACAAGAATCACAAAATCCGAGGGTGGGGGGAGCGGCGCGGGGGAGCGCGGGCGGGTGGGGAAGCCGCCTCGCTACCCCCACCCTCGGATTTTGTGATTCTTGTGTTCTTCTTACCGCGTCGAGCGGAATAGCCTATTCCATTCGTATCACGGATGATGTGTGTTCCATATTACGTAATGCACAAAATTCTCCGTAAGCCGGTCCGTAAGATGAGACTGTGTCCAAAGTTACATGAAGTGGAACACTTCTACATGTTCAAATTAACTGTTAAACACTTCCCAGTATTCAAAGACCCATACAAAAACCTAGAAGTATGTGCAACGTTGCTTAATGCTTTTATATGCACGTTCGTTGCACTGTAAGAAATCCTGTGGTAAATCATTGCTGAGACCACAGAACTGGAACCACACCTAAAACACAGTGCGGACTGTGGTTGGCAACACCACAGGGTTTTTCTGTTGACCGGCTCAGTCTGTGACTCGTCTTTGGTTCGAGGCGTCTTTGTTCGTTCTTAGCTCTCGCTGATGACCCGCCGCGCTCCAGCAACCACATGCTGGATGATTATTCCAACATGTATCTTCGTGCTACTGCGCGAAAATATATGATTTTTGAGGGAAGGTCAAGAGTTTAATCCTCTGAAGGGGCAGTGGTGTCCAAAGGCCTTGCAGCTCATGAGCCTTCGGGCTCAAGGGCTCAAGGCCCTCCATGGCCCTTCGAGCAGAAGACCTATGTCTTCAGCGCAACATATGCGCTTGAACTTGAACCACTTGACCCGTAGCGCCATTACTGCCATTTAATACTAATTTTTCATCACACTATTTTACTGGGATTGTGAAAGCAGAGAACTTTCATGTGGCAGTTCTGTGGTTTATCACAAGATTGAGCACTGACATACTTGTAGTAGCTCCGTGCTTCGCACGGAATTGAGCACAGACAGGCTGTGTAATTAATTGACGCACTTTTTTCTGTGAATCCTGTGCTTTTTTCTGACAGTGTGCACTCTTTATTTATCAGTGTTATAAAGCGACGTTTTCGTCCACATCCACTTTTTAGGAACAAAACTACATCTGGTCTCAATTTGCATGAAAACGTCCCCTTAGGAACAAACTGTCCGTATATCATTGCATACATAGTAGTGTAAGAACACACTGAATCTGGGAGGACTTCTATTGACCGTAGGAAGACGCGATTTTGTGCACATCTCAACCGGAAGCAGATTAGAATCCAGCAAGTGAGGAATTTGCATCTTAATGTTGGGCAAATAAAAACAAAATAATTGCGTCCAGAAAAAGGATCCTCATTCGTCACTAGCTGGATTAAAATCTGCATCCGTTTAAAATGTGTGCAAAAACGCGTCTTTCCAAGGACAATAAAAGTCCTTTCAGATTTCCCGCTCAAGCAATCCAAAAGTGCTTATCAGGTATCATGCTGTACGTTTTTGTGCAAACTTTCGGTTCTACTTATTCAAGCAACGTTTCGCGTTGTACAAATTTGTAAGCATAAGTGCATGTTTTCGCACACACACTGAGTTAAATGTTTCGTTGCAGCCATCAAAAATTCTTCGATCAGTCCGGATTAGTCATGGCCATCAAAACTTTAGTCGCAGCAACTAAACTTTTGGTTACAACTACCAAAACTTCGGTTACAGCTACCAAAATTTTGATAACTATGACTAAGCCGGACTGACCAAACAAAATGTGGCCGTGGGTATCAAATTTTTGATGGCTGCAACGAAACATTTCTCTACGTGTTAATGCACCAAAGTGTTCAAATCAAACAGAAATGTGTGCACAAAATTTGATTGCTTAAATTCGTGCAAATAAAAGATACACATCTAGTTGGCGCGTAACAATGTATTCATTTGAATGGAGTCCATGCAGTAATGCAGCTGACGTTGAGTGAACTTGCCCTCCAGATGACTCCCGCCGAGGTGGACGAGGTGATCCTGGTTGGCGGGTCGACTCGCATGCCGGCAGTGCCGCGGCTGCTGGCCGACCTGTTCCCGGGCAAGATGATCCGCAGGACGGTGAACCCCGACGAGGCGGTGGCGCACGGCGCCGCGCTCATGGCGGCGCAGCTGACCGGCGCCAGGGTGGCGGACCTGACGGCCGTGGTGGTCCAGGACGTGACGCCGCTCAGCATCGGCATCGACGTCAACGGCGGCACGTTCTACACCGTCCTGGCGAAGAACACCGCCATACCAGCCCAGAAAAGCACCCGAATGACGACCGCCTTTAAAAACCAACGAGCTGTGAGCATCATGGTCAGTCCAACCACCACTTTTGTTACGGTGAAATACCCGAAGATTTTGTCAGGGTTTTATTAGTAAAATGAGTGGAAAAATAATTAAATAGAGGTGGTTTTTTGAGGTCAGTTCACGGTAAAAACTATGACTCGTTGAGGGAAAAGGAAAAACTTTGAGGAACTCCCATGTTTCAGGAAGAGTCCCCCGTTCTCGCCTCAGATTTTAAGGAATATTCTCAAATGAGGAAAAGCCCTACACTTTTGGAGACTTCCTCGAAATCTGAGGAGTTTTTGTCAAACTAGGTGAATGCCTCAAAAATTTCTCTTTTCCCTCAAAAAATGACATTGTTTTTACCGTGTGAGGGCCCTTTCTCTGACAAAGTACTGAAGATACGAGATCTCAAACGACCGAATTCGTTTCGAAAAATACCAACTGTAGACCGTTACAGGTAGTCCGGGCTCAGTATCTTATTTCTTAACTGCCTTTAACGTTATTTTAAGAGTTAAACTTATAACTTTTAACTTTTACTATTGTTCTTTGGAAATAAGTTAGTTCTTCGACTTGTCCAACTTTTTTCTAGATGTACGATTAATATCAAACATAATTTCAAATCGAATGATTTTTTTGTGTTAATTTATGCATTAAAGTAAACCCATTTATGTCTGATTTCGTATCGTGCATAAATCCGTACGCAATAGGGCTGTGCGATATCTAGATTTTGATATCGCGAAACGATATCAACCAAGTATCGACATCGACTCGATGCATCGAGTCTCGATAATATCGAGTGATATCGCAATATCGAACCATATCGAGGAACGATATGTCTTAAAATGGCCGATATATCGCGATATATCGTAGTATCGAGCAACCTCGATATTTCGATATCGCGATATATTGCAGTATCGAGAAACCTCGATATTTCGATATCGATATCGGGAGAATATCGACGTCTCGATATCGGACAACATCGTATCGATATTGAAATATCGTGGTATCGCACAGCCCTACGCACAAATCACTACACATGACACGTATGAAAAAGTAATTTTCCCGAGTTTCCAGTTAGTGTGCAGTTAAGTAACAAGTCACGGAGCCCTGACCCTTGGCTTGCAAGTATTTACTTTGCAGTTGCACACTTACAGGTGTCAAAGCAGTTTCTAGTTTGCCAGTGTAGTAAAGACGCTGATGGCGCCCTTAAAAATTACATTTATGTTCTTGCACTCAGAAAACCGATTGTTTAACTCAACGAAATTAAGTGTTTAGAAAACCAACGCAATTTTGTTTCCGTCGACCAAATTTCAATCGTGTTGATTGGATGATTTAGTCAGGTCGGTGTGTTTGACAATATTTTTGGTTGGGCTGATCACATTTAAATTGTAGAAGCTTAATTAAACGTTTCGTTGGATTTCGGGAGTAAATTGTGTTTTCTTCAACACGAATTTAGTCATACGGACTAATAGCTTATCTCGGTGGGGTTTGCAAATTCAAGTTGGAAATGTAGACCTCTTGAGTCTTGAAGTTAAAATTGAGACACTGATCAGTAATAACTTTGATTTTTTTAGGTCTACCAGGGAGAGCGGCAAGTGGCTAATAGGAATATGTTCATTGGGAAGTATACTCTGCAGAATCTGCCACCTGCTCCAGAGGGGCTGGGGGTGATAATGTCGCTGTCACTCGACCAGGACGGGGTCCTTCAGGTAAGATGTTTCAAATGCGTTGATCTTCATGAACCGTGAGAAAGATTTTTCGAATTTTGCATCTCAAAGAATTCACTGTGAAAAATATCGTTGTAAATTTACCAAAATTTTGTAAACTAGAATTATAAATTAAGTTGTAAATTTACGACAGCACATTTTTTACTCGCCAAGGGATTTTAAGTCGATACGTACTGCATCAGGGTTGTTACAGGTCATGGAAAACCTGGAAGTCATGGTAAAGTCAGGGAAAAAAAATCGAGTCATGGAAGTCATGGAAAAGTCAGGGAAATCAATCGCCGAGTCATGGAAAATTATGAAAAGTTGGAAAATTGCAAAATTTGCTAGCGTGCTAAGCTCCTGCGGTTCTCTACAATGGTCCAATTTATTGTTAAATATCCTTTTTTTTTCGCTCGCTTCGCTCGCGAATATTTCCCTCTCTTCTTTCGTATAACCATAGGTGCACATACTTTTATCGAGAATATCAAAACAAATGTACACAGGGTGTCGAGCGACTCGGGGAATACGGGAAATACGGGAATTATACGGGAATTAAATTGGCCCGGGAAAAGTTCCGGGAAAGTCCGGGAATTTTGCAATCTACTCGGGAAATCTCTAAAAATTTCAAAGTGCCGTGTCTCTCTTCAGGAATGAGATGCAAAATGCACCAAAAAGGTACTTTAAGTTGCCATTTTCCTGCTCATAAACCACTCTCTTTGTCATAGAATACCGAATAAAATTCTCGCTCGCTTCGCTCGCACTTTTTCATGGCGGTCACCTTCCGTAATGATCTCAAAGCGGAAGGCCGAAAGACGCCCATTGAAACGGGTCCGGTGTCTGGTAGGTGTATGATCTCAAAGTAGACACCAGAGCAACCCCGGCTGACGATACCAGATGTGATAAAGAAACGGTGTCGAAAGGGTCTATCAACAGAGCTTAACACGTTGAGTGCGTTGCGGTGCGTTGTGACCCACACCGTGGGTCACAGCATTATGTCCCACAGGGCGACGTGACCCACACGGTGGGCCCCAATGTATGGCGTTTAGAAAAACCTTCGGCTCTTGGGACATCCTTCTTTTTTTGGCGCCGCACTCAACGTGTTAATCCCTCTAAAACAGCTCTTTATATCAAAAACATGTCAAAAAAATTCTCGCTCGCTTCGCTCGCGATTTTCTATGGGGAATACCTCTGTTTTGCTCGGTCATGCTCCTGTCAACCAGAGTATTTAGACATTTGTTAATTTTTACCTCTCATTCGATAGGAAAATTTTTCATCTGAAAGGGTTAAAATACTCGGGGATTTCGTCAATTTTTGCTCGGGAAATACGGGAAAAGTTCGGGAATTTTATTTTCGGTCCGCGCTCGACACCCTGGTACAGCACTCAAACTCTGCACTCACATTTGCTGGCTAAAATTTTTGAATCTCTTCGTATGTGTCGAAGTTTGGTCGCCACAGTGGAGGTGGTACCGTTCCCTAAGCGAGGGGGATCTGGTTAATCTAGGGCGCATTTTAAACCGCTCAGCTAGGTGAACATTTGAAAATTTTCGTGCTCGCTTCGCTCGCACTTAGCCCTTTTATGTTTCTAGTCGGTAGCGTCAACCGAAAGTGGCCAGCAAACCCCTCGTGCGATTCAAAGATTGATACGGTGCTTCCCACTAGTTGCCAATATAGGCAAGGGGCCTTCTGTAAAGGTAAAATTCGAGCTACAACGTCACTTTTGGGGCCGGGAAAAACCGGAAAGTGCCCACCCTGTAAATGAATGCATTCACAGGGCCGTAACAAGAGCTTAACCAATAACTTAAAAATATTTTGGGGGATGAAAGTCATGGAAAACCTCCAGTTTGGTCAGGGAAAAGTCAGGGAATTTGAAAATCCCAACTCTGTAACAACCCTGTGCATGTATTTTTACGATTACAAATTGTAATTTTACAATCTACGTCAAGGAAAATTTTCCAGTAAACCTACCTACTATTTTCACAGTGTTAGTTCGTATTGTAAGTAAATTCTTTGTACACACCAAGAGGGAAGGGGACAGTTCATCGTTTTACGTAATTGCCATCCCTTCTATAATGCCCTTCTACAGTACTACACAACAGCTTTTTTTGAGGGCATTTTTCGAGGATTTTTGGCCTGTACCGCCGTAGACACATCCTTTATCTGCATTGTACTAAGACGCGGTAGTGCCTAAACGGCCTATGATAGAGCAAAACGCAAAACGGACGAAATGTTCGTTCAAAGGGTCGCAATTTGGCGAGTTACGTGGAAGAAAGTAATGCTGAAAATTAAAAAGAAAATGGTTGAAATGGCAGCTTAATAGCCCCTTAATATGAATGTGAGCAAAAAGACTAAAATTGCTGCGTTCTTCGATGACACATCAAGACATACAATTTCCCAAAGTAGAATGAAAATCGGGAATTTACACGGGGTCCTTGTGAGATTGGCATTTGCAGAGTGCGGTGGGAATTTGGAGAACGCCGAACCTGTGCATGGCGTGTTTTGCCACGGTGCAGCTCGGGGAGAAAGGGACGGTTGGAGGGTGCTCCGACCAAAGGAAATGACCGTTAACACTCGTACAGAGGCCCGGCGTTCCCCGAATGCCCACCACACCGTTTCAGATGTCGATCTCAGGTTTTGATACAATGTAGATAAAGGATGTGTCTACGGCGGTAGCAGGCCCACAATCTACAAAAAGTGCCCATGGAAAAATTTGTTGTGAAGATATAAATTGGGCCATTATGGGCGACTCAGCAACGTCGGAGGCAGACTTTTGCGTTCGGTATAGAGGTTGGGGAAAGCGGAAAGCTTTGGGGAACTCCCCTGGTTAGAAGAGAACTCCTCAGATTTCGAGCAGAAGACCTCCAAATATGTGGGATTTTTCATATTTTTGAGAAGATTCTTCAAAATCTGAGGCGAGATAGGAAGACTCTTCCTCAAACGGAGTTCCTCAAAGTTTTCCCCTTTTCCTCAAAAAGTAAGACATTGTTTTTACCGTGTGAGGGCTCAAGCGCGCTCCAGCCGGGACTTAAATGTCCGTATGCATTAGTCCATCAGGCGTAAATTTGAAAATAGGTTACAGACAAAATAATGCGGCTGTATCTAATCAGGTATGGCTTTGTACCCACCTTACAGACAAATTTGTATTGCACACTTCGTTGTGAGGATCAGTTATGTTTGGTAGGCTAAATTCGATAGCTGGAATCGAGAATCCGATACCAACAACAAAGGGTTGGTCGCCACGACCGGACACTTGTACGAAGAGAACAAACTCCAGATTGGTTCTCTTCGTACAAGTGTCCGGTCGTGACAACCAGCTCTTGCTTGTGAGTGTCTTTAATTTCCGTGGGAGGACAAATTTGTATTGAGGCCTGAATGCTTGAATGAAGTTGGCTCAATAGCATGCGTTAGACTCTACTTGCCTCCTCTTTTAACCAACGGCAACGGATATTGGTGCAAATAGAACAATTAGGCACTAGTGGGGCCCCCCCAGCTGCGCGGCCCACATATGTATTATTTGCTTTCCTAAGACCGATCATCGACGAATCTTTCCTTCCTTAGTGCTCCATGCTTGCGTTCTGGCCTGCAGGTGAAGGCCCGTGTCGAGGGGAGCGCGCTGTGGGAGGGGTGCTTCCTTGAGCTACGTGAGTGCACGGCATCAGAGGTGGAGGTTCACGCGGAGCTGGCGGCGCGGTGCCAACACGACGACGAGGCAGAGGCTCGCAGACTCAAGGCGCGCTTTAGGCTGCAGAAGGTTCTGGTGAACCGGAAGGAAGAGGTAAAGTTGTGCACAGCCACAGGGAGCAGTAACTCGAAACTGCGTTTTGCGTTCACTGCTATTCAAATACTGGACTATACGTCACGTGACGTAGCAAATTTAAAAGTATATGCTTTAAAGCGGAATACTGTTCTCAATTTGCATTCAAGAACCTAATATGTTTTTAAAAAATATCAATTATTCACAAAACCTTCATTCTAGGCGTGCTTCACTTCGATACCTCCTTACACTGGAAAAACAAAGGTGCTATATATCACCCCTTGTAGGGTGCTAGCACCCTTTGTAGGGTGCTATTGAATTTTCAGGGGTGCTACTGCACTAGTGCCTTTGTAGAGACACGATTTGTGCCAAAAATAGCACCTTTGGGGGGCAGTACCACCTTTCTAGAGGCACTATTTTACTAACGCCTTGACAAGGCATTAGATAGCACCTTTGTTTTTCTGGTGTAAGTATAAAACGTCTCTAGATATACGCAATTGTCCTATCCCGAGTGCATAATGTGTAAACGACGCCAAAAGTCTAAATAAGTTGTACTTTACCATACCGGGGGTTCAACCCAGGACCTCCAGGCCGAGATTCGACGCCAATCAATTGGTTCATTCCTAATATTTCCTTATCGTCTTGTCTACAGGCTGTTGATGCAGCTGCTTTCCAGATTCTGGAGGACTGGTTTGAAAGAAACCAAAATGCTTCGCTCGCTGACTTCGAAGCCAAGCGTGATGAAGCAAAGTCAGCGCTAGGCAAGCGTGGGTATCATTTTGAAGAGTATGATACTTATAAAACGAAGAGATTTTTTTAGAGCCGTGTCTCCCTAAATGTTTTCGAATATCTAATTTTATTTTTGCTGTGACCTCCAACTTAATTCGTCATATGTTTCGTACTTGGTTTTAAATTAAAACTTAAAGTTTGGCAATTTAAGCCAACACGTTCTGTTATTATTCTATTTCGCAAGCGTGTCTGTATTTACACGTTTGAACCAAGTGTTCGTTCAATTGCTCAACACATGCACACGGAGGAAGATATTTCGTTGGGCCAGCGAACAATTAAGT